CACCTGTGTGACATATGGATATTGCTTGTAGTAGAGGTAGAGAGAGTCAAACGGCCCACTGACCCACTCCAGTGTTTGCATTTGAAGTTGGAGAGATCGGCACTACGATCAGCGAACATGAAGTCCATAGAGGTGATATGATTCCATATGCTACATAGATGTGCAAGAAAATACCCTTGACAGATATCCTTTTTTTGCAACAAGTGAAAGTTGTTGTCCGTGCAGAAGGTAAGTTTGGATACACCTTCCCATGGGTGGTGACACTCCGGCAATTGGGAAGGCGTCGGCCCTATCTTATTATAGAGCTAAGCAGACCGGAAATTGGTGGCCCTATCGTTATCCTCTTGTCCGACCTGAGCACGAGGGTCTCCTCTACAGAGGGAGCTCACTTAGATGCGCTCACACAGGGGCAAGTGGGGTTATGCACACAGGCATGCACAGTGGGAGGCAGGTCGATATACCGGTATGCATGCATAGACTCGTTCACGCATGCACACACACCCATGCATTGCTGCACTAGTGCATGTCTGCATTCGTCCATATGTGAACATCTAGACATTCGCGCACAAATTCATGCACATGAGGGTGCACACATACATGCATGTGCATACACATCCATATGTGCATGCATGCATGCTCATAGGCGTGTGGGAAGGCACACATGCGTGCGCAGAGGTATACAAATCAGGATGCAGAAAGCAATGGAAAGATGAGCAGGTGTGGGCAATACTCGGTTGTCTACATGTATCCTTTTCTTCCCTCTGTCGGCATATGCCTGCCTTGCGTTTGCATGCCTACATCAGGCTACATGTGCGCATGCAAGTACACAGGGACATTTCCATGAGTGAATGCAAGTACTCCCGAATGCATTTGTACATGCAAGTACGACTGTAAATGCATGTATGCATCTGTTACATGCCCAGTTGGGCGATGTACATATATAACCGAGGATCCGCAATGTGATGAAAAGGACTGAATGGACAATGCAGTGCTAGTGGAATCTCAACGAGCAGTGTGCATTCTGATACATACAAAAATGGTGCTTTATAGCGCAGTGGAAGACTTAGATACAAGTCCTGACCTGACTGCAGGGATGCTAGAATACCAATGACTAGCCCAATCAATGTCGCAGTACAGACCGAACATGCATCATCCTCATCACAAGGTGTGAAGGGGCCTGGCGCTACACACAAGAAGAATGCGCCAGGTCCAGTCCATACACAGACGAAGAGAGGGGAATCAGACGAAGAAGAAGGGGGAAGATGGGAATGTCGTCAACACCAAGTCTTCGTTACAAGTCCCAGATAACCCCTCGCCAAATGTCTGAAGTCCAATGTCGAGTCTGGATCCAAATGTCGCCAAGCCCGCTCTCTCATAGTCTGCTGATGCAGTTAAGTCAGATAGCAAGAGGGTGAGAGGAAGATGGTGGACTGAGAAGAGGAAGAAGAAAAACTCTCTCTCTCTCTCTCTCTCTCTTTCTCTCTCTCTCTCTCTCTCTCTCTCTCTCTCTCTCTCTCTCTTTCTCTCTCTCTCTCTCTCTCTCTCTCTCTCTCTCTCTCTCTCTCTCTCTCTCTCTCTCTCTCTCTCTCTCTCTCTTGTGTGCCAGGTACTAACCTGTGAAGATGGCGCTGTGCTGCAGGTACCTCGAAGACAAAGCTGGAGCTATGGCGCATCAGGTAAGTCTCCCTGGCCTCCGCCCAATCTCTCTCCCTAATAGCGCCCAGCGCTGAAGACTACTGCTAACGCTACTAGCGCCCAGCGCTGAAGACTACTGCTAGCGCTACTACTACTCCTGCAGCGTTCCTCCAGAGTGCTGCTGCCGAATCCTGAAGACTACCTCCTGCCTCCTGAACTGCACGTGAAGTGCCTGGGAAGTTCCTGTGACACTACTTGACTACCTGCAGCCTGCAGGGCGGGCCAGTCTTATATAGTGCAGCTAGGTGATTTAGTCTGGGTCAAGTCTAAGGAGTTCGCCCCAGAAGAGAACATCTCACAGAAGCTATTACCTGCGTACAGAGGACCGTGGCCTGTCCTAGAAGTAAATGGCGGAGAGGACGGACCTTCCTACAGCGGGAGTGAAACGGTTTTCACCTTTATGGTAGCAGATGTAGTACCCAGGGCTCGATCCCTAGACCTCACCCCTACCCATGTACAGTATCAGTTGACCCATGTGTGGGTTGAACCCGCGAACTGAGTACTGAAAGGCATGTGTTTGGCTGTTGTAGATAGTGTGGTCGTCGGGTCTTGAACCATAGGTCTTAGTTTTAGTGGTCGTCCGGTCTTGAACCTTAGGTCTTAGTTTTAGTGGTCGTCGGGTCAATGTGAGTCGTAGCTGCTACAGTTCCGAAAGGTCAAGTCCACGATCTTCCGAATGTTCTAGAACTGGCTCTTCGTAGGTAGTATTTTTTATTTTAACTTTGTACGAGGGTTTATGCCTCGGCATAGGGCCCTGCAGCAGGCGTGTGGCCGCCCTAAGTGAAGGCGGCCCCCCTGAATCTCAATGCGCCCTGAACTCCTCAATTTTTGCAAATCTTGGTCGGCGCCAGACAGTTGCCACGCGCCAGTTGGTTACAACCCGCCTTGCTCGTGAGAATACATTCCAAATATTTGTCCCAGGCCACTCTGGTAGCCTAGAAAAATAAGAAAAAATGAAGAGAAAATTAAAATCAGTGTGTGGGCGGGCACGTTTTAAACATCGCCATCTTTGACGTTTTTTCATTTTTTTGGGGATTAGTGAAAGGCCCTGAAAACAAAAAGTGAAAAGAGAAGAAAAACAAAAAAGTGAGTGGGCAAGCACGTTTTGACACCACCATCTTTGGCGATTTTTTTTTTTTTTTTTTCTGACTTACCAAAATGCCTCCAAAAGTAATAGACATGTACCTCACATCATAAAGAACTCACAAAACAGAAAAAAAAAATAAAAAATTAATGCCCTGAAATATTTTTTGGCGGGGACCCAACCCCTTCAGGTTCAGACCCAGAACGCCCGAACGTACAGAGGTCCGCCCGGGGGCCTCCGTACGTATGGGCTGGTAACCATGGTGCATAACATATATTGTCACACTGTGAATCGGAGCGCAAAGGGGGAAAAGAGCAAAACAAGGAAAGGAAAAGAAGGAAGGAAGAAAAGCCCCACCTGTTCATCACCTCTTACGTACAAGGCCAGCCACGTGGATGACAGGTCTATGCAGACAAAATAGTCCAAGCTGATCAAACTCACATTGCAGAGTAGAGATGATCAAACTCACAGATTATCACACCACACGTAACACGATGCTAGAATGATACGAAAGAGAACGCATTCGGTATACATTCATTCGTTCCGACAACCCCAGGAACCACCAATCGTTCCACATACCCTCGGTCAATTGCGGAAAACCGCAAAAGACCGTCCACCGAAAGAGGACTACTCCGATATCAACTCTTGCTTAAGTACTACGTGTTTGGCGGTAACGTTGCTAGCTATCCCGGCACGGTCGAAGCTTCCAGAAAGACAACCGAGTTCAAAGAAACACACGGCTGTTCAGATCTGGTCGATAATCGTGTCAGAGGCCGTAGCGTCACTCGTATGGAGCCAACACCAAACCAAAATACAAATCCGGGCCTGGGCTCGAAAAGGCCCATACAACACCACAAGACAGAAACCGACAAAAAAGCCAAAGGAAACCCAAACAGGGCCTGGGTTCGAAACGGCCCATATCACAAAACAAAACAAAAGGAGCCAAACCCAAACCCAAACGTGGATGACAGGTTGAGCGCTGGCTGCCCCCATCCCCGTGTGTCACAAGGACCCACTTGCACGCAGCCAAAAGGCAAAGAGGTAAAGAAAAGGAGGAAACCAAACCTCACAGAGGCAAGAAAAAGAGAAAGGGATCCAGTGAAAGAAAGGACAAGGGAAGAGGAAGGAAGGCGTATTAGCCAAACAAAGCAATTGACACATCCCTCAGATAAACCAATTGCCACTGTCACAGCAAAGTTCAACATATTTTATATTTTTCCTTTTTTTCTTTTTTCTTTTTTTCTGAAATTTTTTCTTTTTTTCTTTTTTTCTTTTCATTTCTCCAAGTATTGAAACTTTTATATGTCCTATAACCAGTGTTGCTCCCGACCTGCTTGATTCTATTGAGACCAGTCAGGAAGAGGAGCCCCCACCCCGGCAGATAGGACAGGCACGCTGAGGGTGGCGTGGATGTTCACAAGGATACCCAAGGAGAGCTGCGCCAGCACAGCATTCAGCAGGACGGCTAGCACGGACCATCCCATCAAAGCAGTCCTGACAAAGGACATGCTGTCCACATGTCAAGAAAACAGCAGGGCGTTCATCACAGTGCGGCATCATGCTGTTCTGATAGCGTCCTTGCTCACAAAAGGGACAACGAATGTCTGGGTGATAGATGGATGTGTACAATGAGGGAATGTTGGACACCCTTCGGCACAGACGGCAACGGCTGCAATAGTTTGATAATGGTGATGGCATAGATGATGAATGCCACAACGAAGACGCACCGCGTCCCTGTCCCGACAGGTGTCACACGAGAGTCGGTCAATAATCCAGAATAAAGTATGATTCAGCAATGCACCCAAAAACTCGTTTACGTTGGAAATAGCCTGAATTGTCGTCCCACCATCCCACAGTTCCCACTGGGCAGCTGCACGAATGAGCGCCATATAATGCCCGGGTCTGTGTAAAATACAGGCAGAATTATGAGGATGGTCATTGAGGTCATCGCCTGGCGTCGCATGATGCATAAGAAGGTGGCGACCGTGGAAAGCTAACTGTAAAACATTTACAGTAAAGCCTCCTGAGGTAGTATAGTTACTACCTTCAGGAGGTGGGCTATTATGGTCATACAACAACTGATTTTCAACAGCGTCAAGCTGATAAGCCATCGTAACAAACTGTGACGCAGTATATATTTTTTCAGATTTTTCAGTTTTTTTTTTTTTTTTTTTTTCAATTTGGAGAAAGATTGCATTCTCCCCTGAAAGTGAACGGGGTGCTACACTGGCTCACTTTATTGTACAAGTATGGGATGGAATTGCTGGGAAAATGTTTGAAAAGTCTAGAACACTTTTACGGCATACTCACATGAGCACTTTTTGAGTCATCTCAGGACGTAATTGCGGTCAGATGCATGCAGGAGAAGCGGCAATTGTTGTCAGATACATCCACGAAAGTCCCAGCGTGAGTATGCCCTTCGAGTTTCAGGTTTAGAGTTTGTGATAACAAAACCCCTGTTGCCAAGGACGATCCAGCCAAACGTCGTACAAAACTTATGAATGTGAACGTGACTGTGGACCAAAAGGTGAATGTGAATGCGCCAAACATTGTACAAAACTTATGAATGTGAACGTGACTGTGGACCAAAAGGTGAATGTGAATGCGCCAAACATTGTACCAAACTTATGAATGTGAACGGGACTGTGGACCAAAAGGTGAATGTGAATGCGAATGTGAATGTGAACCAAAAGATGAATGTGAATGTGACTGTGAACCAAAACGTGAATGGGAATGGGAATGGGAATGGAATGGTAATAAATGAGCAAAAACAAAAAGGGAATAGCAATGAGGACAGGAAAATTTGGAAAATTTTTCAAACTGTCATAAATTAGACTAGTAATAGGTTTATTCAAAATAACTAGAAGATTGACCTAAATGAAGTTCACCTTGCAAATGCAAGGAAGGGTAGAGCCATAACGCTTCTCGACGTTCTCGTCTATCGAGGAGCTATGACAAGACATACAGAACTTACTCCCAGATTTGGGCCAGGTATTCCCCCTCCCCCCCCCCCCCCCCTCTCTCTCTCTCTCTCTCATACATACACACATTTTCATTCCCTCTCTCTACTTTGCTCCCACTTCACCAACCCGCTCACAGTTTACTGTCCACTCATCGCAAGTTCAGGTATCCGTTGGAGATTCTCTTCAAGAGAGAGGCCAGTTGTTGGCGCCACGCCTCGTGACATGTTGGCAATCTGCTCGGCACACTGCTTCCCACTGAGTACTGCTCCTTCCATGGAGGCCAGGTAGCGCTGCATCAGAAATGTGCACAGAACAAAAAGGGTTAGTGCAGTTCAGTCAGAAAAAGCACGCGGTGGTGAGGAAAACAGGCGTAGAGTTTGGAAAGGCAATAAAGCAGCGCAACACTTTGTAGGTAATGAGCGCGGATTTCATAACGACATGGGAGGGGGCTGTAGTGTGCAGAGGGCCAGGCAAAAAAAACATTGTGGCTATTTTATACTGATACAGTCATTTTCGAAATGAACCAAGTTCTCATCAAGTTCCACCTCGCATACACCAATGAACATTCACAAGAGAGTTCACACGTGAGAAGCCAAAGCTAAGATAAAAATAACACACGAGAAAGTAATCTCCAAAATTGTCATTATTATACAAAAAACTGTTTATGTCCCCAGCGGCTCTGCCGCACACACACACGGTCAGAACTGATCTCAACCAGCCGACGGCCATGGCTTCTACCTCTCAGTCTTCTCTCTGGCTTGGTTCGCTCTGCCTCACTCTCTGTCTCTACCCTAGATCGTGACCCTGGATACACCCACTCAGGTAAGCTTCACACTTGGCAGCTATGGCCACCCTCCTTCCTATCTCCCTCTTCCTCAGCTATTGATACATGCTCGATCGAGCTATGTATATGGACCCAAGGATCCGCAAAGTGATGAAAAGGACTCGAATGGACAATGCAGCATCAGCGAAGCATCAACAAGCAATGCACATCCAGATACATACAAAAATAGCACAATGTAGCACAGCAGAAGACTCAAAGATATGACCTGACCTGTCAGATACTGACACGACTCGATGCATCACACGAAGGAGGGACCACATACATAGAAGAAAAGGTCCCTCCTTTGATACGCACATGGGGAGATACCACGGATGAGGTGAGGGAGGAGGGGGGAGACGAAGACGGAGATGAGGGAGAAGACCAAGATTGCGATAACGAAGTCCAAAAATAGTCTCCCTGCCGAATGCCCAATCAATGTCTGCCGCAAAAATGTCGAATCAGATCCCGGCCCTCATAGCCCGACATAACCTCTGCATGTAACCTCTCTCTCTCTCTCTCTCTCTCTCTCTCTCTCTCTCTCTCTCTCTCTCTCTCTCTCTCTCTCTCTGAAGGAAGCAGAAGAAGCAGAAGCAGAAGAAGCAGAAGCAGAAGAAGAAGAAGAAGAAGAAGGAGGAGGAGGAGGAGGGAGAAGAGATGCAGGGCGAGAACAGGTGGCCACCCCCTCTCTCCCTACCTACGCCTCTACCTCTAACGCAGCGCTGCATCGCGCTGCTCCAGCAGCGTGTCGCCCAAGAAGTGAGCTACTCGAACTGTGTCGAACTGTGTGTGTCCTAGAGCTGGGCTGGCCCAGCTATAAATAACGCTGGGCCTGACTGCGATGTCCTGCTCTAGGTCCTAGGCCTCAGAAACGGCCTGCCTGGGTCCCTACCGGATGTCCAGGCCCTCCCTGCTGATGCAGCAGGGAGTGTCCGCTACCAGACGAAACTGAACCTGGCCCGAAAGGGCCTGGCCACGAATGGAGAAGGCCCAAAATGTGGCCTTGGTCCTAACAGACCGTAAGTCTGTTCAGACCCAAAGCAAGTCCGAAACGACGCCTGAAACTCCAGGGCGCATGCCTGAATGGCGTGCGGCCTGGGGGCCCCCAGCAACCGTCGGGCCCCCGAAACGGGGCACGTGTGCAGGCTAAGCATATAACACCCCTCCCTCCTTATGAAGTCAGGCTGGGTCAAGGACGAAGCTGACAATCCGATGGTGAAACCTGGACGTGAGTTCGACATGGAGCCGAAGGTGCCGGCTTGCTTTGCTGTTTGCGTTCATAACGTACATGGACGTCGGGGGCTGCAGCCTGGAGTTCCGGACGGGTCAACCAATGGTCAGCCTTATGGCTACAATAGGAAAAATGTACCAAGTACTCCATCGGCTTGTTGCCATAGCGCCGCTGCGAAATGATATCGCCGACCTCCCGAAAACAATCCATGGAGGGTGAGTCTTGCGATCGTCACACGGGAAAGTCGTCGTGTTCTGCCAAAACAAAAAGAGCCAACTTTGAACAATGAAAGACCGGGTAGACGGGCAAGTGGGTGGGCACCTGAATGACAAATGAGGGTCCTTCTAGTGCGTCACCAGAGGGCGCTACAATGCGCCAAGGCCCCATCCATTTTGGAAGGAGCTTGCAAGAGATATCTTGCTCGAGGCTGAATTCCGCAGCGGAGACCCAAACTAGGTCACGTGCGTGGAACGGGCAAGGGAGACGTTGACGATTGGCTTGACGGCTCATGCATTGCAGCATCTTTGACATCTGGTCCCGTGCCTTGACAAGGAGCTCTTGCATCCGTCGAAAGAAGACAAGGTGGTCGTTCGCTCTCTACCGTCCATGGGATGATGGTGTCCAACGACAATGTGACAGGCGAGCCATGCTCGAACTTAAAGGGCGACATCCCGATAGCCGGGTGAATAGACAAGTTGTATGCCAACTCCACGTCCGACAACCGCTCGACCCAATCCCTTTGATCGGGGTGGATAAGAGTGCGAAGAAGAACCTGTGCGGTTTTATGCGCGCTTTCCATCTAACCTCGGTCTGTGGGTGGCGAGCCGAACTCGGCTTGGGAGATGAGCCCCTTCGTTTGACGAGAGCCAACCAAAAGTCGGCCATAAACCGAGTGTCACGGTCGCAAACGATCTCCTTGGGGTAACCCTTGGCGCAAATGCAACCGGCGTAAAGAACCTCGGCCAGCTCCGATGCGTTGGCGTGATAGCGACAAGGCAAAAACATGGCGAACTTGGTGAGTCGATTGACCACCGTGAGAATTCTATCCAGGCCGGTCTTGTGCTTGGGGAACGGCCTGGTGATGTTCATGGCAATCGATTCTCGTCGTCCTAAGGGGACCAGTAATGGTCAGGACTCATAGAGCAGACGATGGTTGCGGGATATGCAACGCCGGCAAACCTCGCATGACTCGCAATAGTGTGTGACGTCGCCGAGAAGGCCGGGACACCAAAAGCGCTCGCGAAGTCGGCCAATAGTACGATTGACTCCAAAGTGTCCAGTGGCGGGAGCGTCGTGGRACTCACCAAGAAGCTGCGTACGCAAGTGTGGGTCACTTGGCACTCAAAGAAGATCCTTCCCCACGAGTGGACAAACAAGTAGCCCTCTTGGATCGGATAATGCGAAGGCGCCAAATTTGGAGAGGAGCAATTCGCATATTTGTCGAGAAACTCGGGGTCAACCTGATCGCCGCGGATGAAGCTGTCCCGCAGGTCGTCGTCAATGTCAAACGTCAAGTAGACCGCGGTACAAAGGTCCAAGCGCCGCAAAAGAGCGTTTGCAAAACAGTTCGACTTTCCTGGGATGTGATTGAGGAAGAAGTCAAACTGGTCGATGAAGGTCATCCAACGGGCAATGGTACTATTGACCGTTTCTTGGGTCTTGTAGAAAACCAATGGATTGTTATCCGTGACCCATCGGAATTGTCTTCGACCGAGAAGAAAATACCGCCACCGCTTAAACCACCACTACCCCCGCTGACCTAAATTCACCTTTCCTGGACTTACGGACCAGGTTCTTAAGGGGGTGGCGACCAGCAGGCGCAGGCGGGTCCGGTCCAAGGATTTTCAACCGTCAACTTTGACGATTTTTCGCGCTCAGAAGAATTAACAAAAACATCTGAAAATTTGAGATTCTAGATTAGGTTGTGATCTTTCCAGGAAAAATATCAAGAAAATGAAGAAAAAAAAAAAATGTATTGTTTGCCACTCTACTATGTGTGGGTCGAAGGGGATAAGTAACCCAACTTCCGCAATTTTTGGTGCTCATAAGGTTGACTCAACAACTCTGAAAGTTTGAGGGTCCACAAATTTTGTCGTGATCTTTGTAGGAAAAATATTAAAAAAATAAAATAAAATCATTTGAACCGCGAAATAAATCGCGGGGGCAATTCGACACATTTGCCAACTTTGCCACTCCGCCAGTTCCCCCCACTATGCTGCCGGTAGCCCTCATGGACCTGTACTACTGGTCCCCCCTAATTTATGACGGCGGGGGTAGTGGTGGCTTAAGTGGGTGTACGAAGGCCAACAACTCCTTCCGTGCGTTGTCAAATGAGGGCAAGATGGGCACCTTCTTGCGAAAGTACTCGACCGTGTGCCAATCCATGCCATTGTGTTGCTCGAGGACGGCACCAATGCCATAGTCGGACGCATCGGTAGTGACGTGCGTCGACAAAAGCGGGTCATAGATCTGTAAAACCTCTACGGATAGCAAGGCGGCTTTGAAGGAGGAAGCCTGTGCATCGTCGTCGAAGTCGGACGGTCGGTCCTCACATTGAAGCTTGGTCAAGTTAGGCGTGATCTTCGAATAGACCTTGATGAAACGTTGGTAGTAGCTGGCTAAGCCAAGAAATGAGCGGACATCCGTGACGTTCCTCGGCTCCGGCCACTCTTGGACGACTTGAATCTTGTCAGATAACAGACTGATGCCCTCAGGTGTGACAAAATGGCCCAAGTACTCCAACTCTTGACATACGAACTCGCATTTGTTGCAGTTGGCTTTGTACTTGGCGCGACGGTGCGTCTCCAACACACATCGAAGATGCTCGAGATGGTCCTCCAAAGTCCGGCTATAGACAAGGATATCGTCCAAGTAGACCAGCACAAACCGGTCCACCATCACGCGAAACTCATTGGTCATCGCCGCTTGAAAAGTCGTTCGGGCATTGGTGAGGCCAATGACATGACCGCCCACTCAAAATGCCCGTACCTCATCTTGAACGTGAATTTGTAGTGATCTTGCGGGCGTATCGAGATTTGGTGATAGCCCGACTTCAAATCTAACTTGGAAAAGTACTTTGCGCCGCCCAAATGCTCAAGAAGATCGTCGATACGAGGAAGAGGCCCCACATTCCTGCCGGTTTGCGCATTGAGCTTGCGATAGTTAATGGATAAGCGTACATCCTTGTTGTTCTTGTGTACGAAGAGAACCAGCGCACCATATGGTGAGGTACTAGGGCG